TATATATATTGATATATTGGGAAATACAGGAAATAATACTATAGCGAAAGCAGTAAGCTCTGAGCAAGAGTCAGTGAACGTACCCGTCAGAGCTTAAAACTAGAAATTAGGTGAAGTAGAGAAAGCAACAATTAGTTCAAAACAAGATTCCGTGAACTTACCCGACAGAGCGTGTGCAACGAGCTCGGGGTCAGCTCCATTAAACAGTTCCGGGATCATCCATTTTCTTTGGTTTTGCACGAAGAAAAGTAAGTCGTCAAATGATGGCCTAGAAGCTAAAAAAAAGAAAAAAGAATAAAACAACCGGTAGGATTATCAACTATACTTTACTAACTTCAATAATGTTTTAAATTGTTACAACACTGTTACAACAACCGTGCATTTCATGACCATTCAGCTCAGGGGAAAAATCAAGTCTGGCAGACAGGATAACAGAGGCAAATAAAAGATGTAAGGCTTACCAATGGAATAGATCTAGCAGAAAAATCAGCAGGAGGAAACTTAATTTGACAATCGTCTCCCAATATCTTGTAGGTAAAAATAAAAGACACAAATTCTTATTAACAACTCACACGACGCAGAGTGCATAAATCAACCAAAAAACAGAATCGTTAGGAAATTTTATAAATGCTTGAGGTCAGTTGTTGAACAGTTTATAATTCATCAGTCCTGAAACAAAGCGTGTGCCTTTTTACTTTATTTCCAAGGGCGTAATCGGTATCACGTGTGACCCCCCCCCCCCTTTGATTGCATAACTGATTGGCACCTTGTGAACATAGACGCGATGAGATGGTGAATTCTAGCAACAGGAATGGCTGTCATGCTTCTGTCGGGGTATGAAGAATTAATTCACAGTCTTAGGGGCAATAACTCTACCTCAGATATGCATGTCTGAAATGTTCCAAATGTTCTCCATTGGGTTCAGATCTTGAGTTTTAGGGCCACAGAAGTATTTGAAATATTTGAACAAATTTTAGTTGCAGATAGTTTATGGTGAGACAGGCATTATGGGGCCTTGCGTTGTCCTGCTGGAAAATTGCTCTCTTTGCCGTGGTAAAATAAAGGGCGAGGCATGGTGCAGGTATTAAAAGGTAATGAATTTTTCAACCCCAGTTGCTTGCATTTCACATCTCTCTGAATTATACACTCAAATATTATGTGAATATTCACGTGAATCGATAAGAGATTAGTTTAAATTCGAAACATTGTTGCTTAATGTCAGCATTTAGAAATGTAACCAGAAGAGTCACACTAGGGAAAATAATATTGCTCCTCATCTGAGGACAAGTCACAAACCGAGCTTTCATTCATACAGGCAGCACATTATGAATTGATCAAGATGTAAAACGTGTTGCTAATGTCAGGTGAAAATAATTATGCGTTTCTTTTTTAGAAAAATAAGAACAACTTTAACAACAACGACGTCAGCAAAAAACAGAGTTACATGAAACAGAAAAGGTGAATGAAATTGCAACCATAATGATAATACAACTTCTAACGCGATCCCCGCCTTCCCACGCACATCCTCCTCCTCCTCCTCCTCCTCTTCCTCCTCCTCCTCCTCCTGTTGTTCCTCCTACTTCTCCTCTGCAGAGAGATTGAAAGTAAGAGAGAGAGAGAGGGAGAGAGAGACAGAGAGAGAGAGAGAGAGAGAGAGAGAGGGAGAGAGAGAGAGAGAGA